ATAAATACTGACTGAACGCCTTGGGTGGCAAGAACAAATGGCAATCGACGTTATTATAAGACTGAAGACACATCTACCGGCTTTAAAAAATTACAGCCCAAATCGATGTTGTGATCACCTCGGAGACACAAAACACCACTTTCAGTCGATTGTACATAATCACAACTTGCATCAAACAGGGCAAACGAACAGCAGGGACATACACACACGTTTAGAATCGATCCTAGACACAGACCGAGGTCTCAGGTCAAACCCTACAACGATAAACCTTACAACGATAAACCCTACAATGACAAACCCTACAACGATAAACCTACAACGATAAACCCTACAACGATAAACCCTACAACGATAAGCCTTAACCGAGAATAGTACACAGACAGCAAACGGAGACACCATCACATCCCCTTACCGTGTGGGCGATCCAGAGTGGTTATAGTATGTTTCGCTGTCTGCATCTGAGTCTGCCACTGGTTCCGTACTGATGACATCGTGGATAGTTTGGGCTATGGTGGCTGCCACACCTGCCACCAGCGATCGAGCCCATCCGTTGGGACTGAAGGCACTATGTGGTGCAAGTACAATATATGAATACATGAATACATGAATATATATATATATATAGGTTTTACACACAGACACAGACACAGAGACATAGGCTCACGTGCCACTCATTGGGCGTACCTGGTGTTCTGTGCGTTGCGTCGTGCTTTCTTAGCGATGAGTTGGCTTCGCCTAAGTGCAGCGGCGGGATTAGCATTGTTGGCTCTTGACATGGCGACTATTTTAGGCACATCCGGCATACGGTACGTTGTCTTCTGATTGGACGGGGGAATGCCGCATTCTGATTGGCTGCTATTTTTGGCCTGGAGCAAACACAGGGATCGAAGGTATAATGCGTGGGCGAGGTGAAGCAAGAGAAGAGAAGCCTACTGTGCACAAGTAACACCACATCACACTAAAACCCTAAACTATAATCGCAATTTGACGTGGTAATAGATACGAATACCTTTTCGTGTGATGTATTTGTGTCCCTGAGAAGATAAAGGAATTCCTTATACCTTGCACGCAAATAGGTGGAAGCATATGGAGCTATATGGGTAACACTACACTAGAGCCACAGGGCAAGCTGTGGTTGCTGAATCAGCTGGTATGAGACGCGGACCAATACCAGCAGGCCTGGATTGTACCGTTTTATATCCAAAATTGAATATATATCTATATATCTATATATATATATATATG